CTCAGCCTCAGCCTCAGCATGCCTCAGCCTCAGCCTGCCTCAGCCTCAGCCTCAGCCTGCCTCAGCCTCAGCCTAGCCTGCTTCAGCCTCAGCCTCAGTCTGCCTTCAGCCTCGGCCTCAGCCTCAGCCTGCCTCAGCCTCAGCCTGCATCAGCCTCAGCCTCAGCCTAAGCCTGCCTCAGCATCAGCCTGCCTCAGCCTCAGCCTCAGCCTCAGCCTGCCTCAGCCTCAGCCTCAGCCTGCTTCAGCCTCAGCCTCAGTCTGCCTTCAGCCTCGGCCTCAGCCTCAGCCTGCCTCAGCCTCAGCCTGCATCGGCCTCAGCCTCAGCCTCAGCCTGCCTCAGCACTCAGCCTGCCTCAGCCTCAGCCTCAGCCTGCCTCAGCCTCAGCCTCAGCCTCAGCCTCAGCCTCAGCCTCAGCCTGCTTCAGCCTCAGCCTCAGTCTGCCTTCAGCCTTGGCCTCAGCCTCAGCCTCAGCCTGCCTCAGCCTCAGCCTGCATCAGCCTCAGCCTCAGCCTCAGCCTGCCTCAGCATCAGCCTGCCTCAGCCTCAGCCTCAGCCTCAGCCTCAGCCTGCCTCAGCCTCAGTTCAGCCTCGGCCTCAGCCTCAGCCTGCCTCAGCCTCAGCCTCAGCCTCAGCCTGCCCAGGAATGGAGTTCTGGGAACTCGAAGAACACGAAGTGGCCTACAGTTGGCTCCGGGCATTCAAAATGTGGCCCGGGAATGGAGTTCTGGGAACTCGAAGAGCACGAAGTGGCCTACAGTTGGCTCCGGGCATCCAAAATGTGGCCCGGGAATGGAGTTCTGGGAAGTCGAAGAGCACGAAGTGGCCTACAGTTGGCTCCGGGCATCCAAAATGTGGCCCGGGAATGGAGTTCTGGGAAGTCGAAGAGCACGAAGTGGCCTACAGCTGGTTCCGGTTATTCAAAATGTGGCCCCGGAATGGAGTTCTGGGAGGTTGAAGAGCACGAAGTGTGTGCCTGTTTGCTTAAAACAAGCCCGGCTCTGTTCCCGGTTCTCCTCCCCGGCACCCGCCCAGACCCCCCTGAGGAGTCATGATGCTCTCTTTTGAGCCTACTAGAACCCTATCAGCAAGCGCTGTTAAGTAAAGCGGAACTCAACTCACTGAGGCTGCCAACGTGGCCTTAGCCTTCTCCACGATGCAGAATGTCCCTCGCAGCCTCAATCGTCCGTCAATGAATGGACTCGGGGTCCACGTAGTAGCCAATACCACTGGCCATCCTGTTCGCCTCGTCCTTAGTGATCTGCCCGCCCTCGGGACTAGAATGCCTCATCGCGCGTTCGGGCACCTTGATGCCACGGGAATGTCCTCGAAACCGGCCTTCAGCAGCTTCGTCTTGATTCGCGCGAAGTCAAAATCCTGCGGCACCGTCTTGATCTCCACCTTTCTGGCCGGGCGACTCCTTGGGTCACGTGCAGCTTCATCGTCAATCGTCTTTGCCGTATTGGCCGTCCTCTGCCTCGTGATCTGGACTGGTTCCTGTCCGACTAAGGCACTGTCGCCCTCGATATCCATGGGCTCGGGCCCCTTACTTTCAACCTTCTTGAGCGCCCTCGTTCTCGTGGCGATGCCTGTCGCCGTCGTCGGCGTCGAGCCTCGAGCGCGGTCATCGTCCGCGTGAATCAGCCTCGGCATTATCTCAATCGCCTGGGGCTGTCGGATCGATGCTCTGATCTCCCTCATCTGCCACCTGAGGTATATCACGGCCCTAGTCATCACGAACAGGATGGCCAGCATAATGTAGAGAGTTGCGTTGTCGTCTTCCTCTGTAGGTGGCGCAGTAGGCGTTGCCCTCGCCCCGGCCATGGATGATATCAACGTGGCAATGTGGAGTCCGAGGCTTGGACTCGTCCTGCTCACCCGTGAGCCCGTCAAACTTGAAGTTGCCCCCAGTGAGGTGCCCGATCTACTCGCGGTTGATCCGCCGAACGTGGTGCCCGATCCACTCGCGGTTAATCCGCCGGACGTGGTGCCCGATCCACTCGCGGTTGATCTCCTCAGCGTGGTGCCCGATCCCCTCGTGGTCGATCGTCTTGTCAATGAAGTCAGCTGTTGTTGGCTTCGCGGCCCGTCGCTTCCTCTGCGGAGGTGAGATCTCGAACTTCTTGGAAACAAAGAAGGCAATCAAAATCGCAATGTCCACCAAACTCTTAGTCAGGCCGTCAGCTACCATTGCTTCAGTCCTCGTCCAAATCAGTGCAGTATTCTCTTGTGCCTCAACACTCTCACGAAGCATGGAAACGACAATGCGTAATCTTATGTCCGCAACTGAACCACTATCCTTATTCAGAGTGCCCTTCAGATTGTCGCTGTCCGTCACAGCCAGAATCGGCCTTGATGCGCGCAGCCTCTCAACATCCTTGAGCTTGGCGTTGGCTGGCTTATATAACTCCTGAAGAAACTGTCGTAGAAACTGGCCATGCTCCATAGCCTCGCTGATGCTGTATGCCTCCGCAACTAACGTGGATCTCACAACTCGCTTGACTCGGGAACTTGTCCACGCCAAGGGCACCTGCCTGTCAAACCGTCCGTCCACAACTTCTCGAGGAGCGTTGGTGAGGCACAGCACTGCTCCAGCCTGCCTCTTCTCACCCGGCATGTTCGCGAAGGAATCACCGTAGGCCAGGACTCACGCTGCGCTGATGTCCACGACGCCCCTGCAGAAGTGCAGGCCGCACTCGATGTTCTGCTCGACGTAGTCCACGAGCTTGTTGGCATCGATGAAGTCCTGGACCTTCAGCTCTGACGTCCTCTGCGCAAGCCTGTTCTGCTCGAAAACTATGTCGGGCCTCGAGCGATGCGCCAGCCACTGTAGTTGCCCGTGCGTGCTGCGAAACATGCTCAGCTCCTCCATGGTTGCCTGTCCGTCTGGAACCTTCTTCCTGCCCGGGGCGATGGGGGTATGCTCCACGGCCTTGACCGCCTTAACCTGCGTGACGTAGATCTCTGCCGCGGCATACCTGATGTGCACTCCGCAGCGCTCAAACTCCCCGTCGCGTCTCTCCAGATGTAGAAACTCAGCCATCTCCCCCGGCGTCTTGTCGACCGTGGGGCTTGCAGCCTTCCTGGCAACCAGCAAGTCGTCAACGTGTCTGTGCATTGCCATCTGGAGCCCCCCGTCGTAGTAATACCTGTAGACCCCGCGCTCCAGCCTGGACTCGTGCATATATATATATATATATATATATATATATATATATGTATATATGCTTCATTTTCGAGGTTGGCCTTCAGACGTTCATACCAGGCGGGCCCCGCATCCTTGGCACCGTAGATCGAGCCCTGCGCGTAGAACACCTTGCCCGGGTCCGTGGGGCGCCTCTTGGGAATCCTGATGAATAGCAATCTGTCGACGCCCTCTGCCTGGAGGTAGGCTGACTTTGAGTAAGAGCATCCGGCCCATCCCTTCTGCGCCATGAACCCGATGGGTGACCATCAGAGCGCCCGCTGAACCCGCGGGGGCGTCGCTCCTGATGTCGGCGGAGCGCTCCTGGCAGCCCAGAACTACCAGTCGAGACTTGTACCTGGACCTCTTGGTCTGCTTCAGCGTGACCACACAGCGCGTGCCCACGACCTTGGCGCCGTTGGCGAGATGCTGCTTGAGCTCGTGGCCTGGGCATCTTCGCGCAGCTCCGAACGCCGCCCACTTCTCCCACTCGTCTTCCATGGCTGCCATGAGCTCCCTGATACTTTCGCATGAGACGGCGTCCAAGTTGACCTCCGTGGACCTCGCAGCCTTGGTCCAATAGCATCCTCGAGCTCCCTCGACCTGAAGGACCAGTGCATGCCGTGCTTGTTCCTCTTCTGGCTGTCCCGGCTGTCCTCTCGATGGCCTGTTCTCGTACTTCACCTCGCTCTGCCTTCGGCCCTGCTCCAGGGTCCTCTTGATAGAGATCGGAACGTCGTCAAGGTGATCGCATGTCTGTCTCGGGGCCGTGCATACTGGCTTGAGTGGCGTAGCGTCTGATGTGGATCCCGAGCTCGATGCCGCTCCTCCTTGATCATGAACCCCTTCGGGCCGTGGTAGGTCCTCCTTAACGTCGTAAAACTCGTCGGCATTATCGGCGCCCTTCTTCAACTCCTCGGGGTCGCGATACGCAAACTCTTGATGCGGCGCTTCTTCGCCCTCGCGGCGATCTTCTTGAAGCGCAGGGCCATCCATATTCTGCACCTGCGGCGTCTCCCCATTATCGTGGCGATTGGGAGAAGGAAGATTTGGATCATGAAGAGGAGGCAGGGCGTCTTGGGATTCTTCAGGCGGTTGAGGAGGCGCTTCCCCCTCGGGGTGTTCTGGCGGTCCAGTGGGCCGCCCAGGGAGCGCAGGCACTTGCTCGGGGGCTTCTTGGGAGTACATGGGTCCTTCCAATATGAGCTGCGGAAGTGGTGTGGGGTCTCCTCCTGCTAGCTTCTCCTCCCATAATCTTCAGACGACGTCTGCTGCTGGCGGGCGGAACGCATGGAACATCCTCGACGTCCTGAGGCCCTCCAGCGGCGGAATGTTGCTCCTCGTCCATGGGCGCGCGAGCGTGCTCATCGATTGTCATGGCACAGTAAGTGCGGTCGTGGCCGACGTCGGTAGGAGGTGGGTCGGCGACCTGCGGCGCCTCGTCGTCGACCCCCGCCGGGGCCTGGCCACCCGGCCCGGGCGGTGACCACCGTGATGGTCTTGAGGCGGCAGGCCCGCTCGCACCCTCCGCACGCTCGAAGACATCCTTCCAGTCGACCAGCTCCGGCGCCCCCGCTGCTCTGACGCGCCGCGCCGACGCCTGCATGGCGAGGTTGCGGTGCGCCAGCCACAGGTTGTTGGACTCGTGCCCGATGACCGCCGCTGGTCCGTGCCAGCGTGCTGCCCAGCGCTTCTTGGCACGGGCCTTGCCCAGTCCTTTCCAGTAGTACACTTGGTCGCCGATCTGGCGCGTTGCAGCCGCTGGCGCCGTAGCTGCAGCTCTGCCCTTGGCGAGGAATGCCTCGCTGATCTTGTGGTCGGCCTCCGGCGCGGCCACCGAGCGCTTCGCTGCGCTGAGTAGTCCGACGCGCTGCCTGAAGCTCGGCTCGTCGTCGTCTTGCATCCGCTGGTGCAACCTGAGGTTGCTGTGCTGGCCGAAGAGCTGGCGCGGAAGCTCGGCGCCCCGGCCCAGGGCCCGCTGGGGCGGCGAGTACCCCGGCGGGCCCACTGCAGAGTTCACCGCGTAGTTGATCGTCGCCGTGGGCCACTTGACCTGGTCTTCCTTCTTGAAGGTCGGGAGAAACTCAGAGATCAAGGCGCGAGCGTGCGCCGTCCAGGTCTGGCCATGCCTCTCGCCGATGGCGCTCTGCGTCGGGCCGCAGTGTGCGCTCGAGACTATCCTCGAGCCCATGGTCTCCAGCTCCTCCTTGACTTCACGCTCGAACTCGCCTCCCGCGTCCGCCATCGCGACGTTCGGAACGCCGAGCGCGAGCAGCCAGGAGTCGAGCGTGGCCTGCCAGATCACGGTCGGCTTGCGGGAAGTGATCGGGACAGCGACCTGGCATTTGGAGGCCATGTCGATCTGGCTGAGGAACATGACGTTGGCCCCCTGGGCGTCGGCCAGTTCGAAGGTATCGATGGCCAGGCAGTCGCCGAACTCCCTCCAACGATCTCGCAATGATGATGCCGCTGTCGGCGGCGGGGCCGCTAGCTCGATGCATGCGGGGCAATGATGCACGAGCGCTGCTGCTATCGCATACTTCGAGCCGCCTGCAAGTCGAGTGGCGCGCGCGAGGGCCCGACTGCCTGGATGTCCCAGGCTGGTGCATCTTAGCCACAGCCCTTGTGAGAGTGAGGCGCTGCTCAGACTCCAGGCCGGCCAGTATACCCTGAGGATCCTTCTCCGTGCCCTCCTTCTCGTCGTCGCTGAGCAGCGTGACCAGCGCGTAGTTGACGCCGGCAATGCTCCTCGCGAAGCCCATGGTCGCGGCCCCGCACAGCTCCTTGGTGGAAAACCCCGTATTCTTGGACGTCCTCCGGTTGAACTCTCGCCCGTGGAGGTGCTCATGGTCTTGGGGGGTACCCTTCGGTTCAAGAGCTTCTGCAGCGGCTGATGGTTGGTGATCACCTTCCAGGGCTTCTTGATGGTCTTGCCAGTCCTGTCGTCCATGAGGCCGTAGGCGCATCCGTCAAACAGGCACTCGCACGGCAAGATCCTCTCGAGCTCCTGGACCTCGGGCTGCTTCCACCCGTGGCAATTTACGGGCCACTCGACCGCAACGATCGCGCCAACCTCCAACGCGTGAGGAACCTCCTTGGTGAATAGCCTGATCATGTGCCTGCCCTCCGCGCGGTCGACTGCCAACTGGGCATTCTTCTTCATGAAATTCTGTAGCGCCGTCCAGGGGCTGCAGGGCAGACTGCCCCAGAGAACGTCGGCACGCCCAGCTCGGGACCGCGCTGCCTGCTCGAGTAGGTCGCCAGCCTTAGCCGCACGACGTCGGACTCGAAGATCGCCCTCGGGAAATCCGAGGCGGTGCGCGGCTCCTCCCTGAGCTTGCCAGACCTCCGACATGAGGCTGTTCGGCTCGCAGCAGTAATCGACCAGGGTACCTGGAGTCCTCTTCCTTGTCCTCCGCGCCCCTCTGGAAGCAGTGGAGACCATAGTGTCGTTCAGCAGTGTCTGAACCAGATTATTCAGGTATGTTGGTCGAACGCCACGTTGATGTAATGTGTTTGGTTGTCTCAGCCTGGCCTTGTTCTGCGCGACGGTGCCAGTGCGGAGTCTCCTCCACGATTGGTGCTGTACCGCGAACTCCGCGCCGTTGCCTACTCCCGCCTTGTGATCACTCACGCCGCGATAGCACCTCGAGCACTGCAACCCTCGAAGGTAAGACGGGCGCGTTCCCATACGGCACACCTGGCACTCGTAGAGCGTCCCAGTCGCGCAACAGGCCGAGCAGGCACCGCGCATGACGCCCCAAGTAGGTGTGCACTCCGATGTGATGTTTTCCGTGGTCAGAGTCCAAGTCGCGTTGGACACGTTCCCTACAGTGGTGCTGTCGTTTGTCTTGTCCTGACCCTTGGGTTTGTCGCCAATCGCCTTGCTGACCTTGGCCCCTGAACAGCACGTGGCCGCCGCGATGGCGAGCGCCTTAATTACCAGCGCGCCCATGCCTCCACGAGGAGGCGGTGATGACCTAGCCCGATGGCCGAGCTTGGGCGGGAGCTCCTCTCTGAGAGGGCGCGCCCATAGTGACGGAGCAAAGGGGGGGGCGTAAGATAGTGGATTCGGTACCATTTGACTGTGGGTGTATAGAAGTAAGCAAAACATATGTACGTGTGTAAATGTTACATGTGTCTGTGTGACAATGTATATATGTATATATGATGTGTATACACACATTGGTATAAACACACAACTTCATATATAGACCTGATACATGTATATACACCGAGTGTGTCAATCGTGTGTATACGCATGCATGTATGCACGCGTGAAGATGAGCATGTTATGCGAACATAAACATTCATGTGTACGTACATGTTTGTGCATATTGAATGTACATGTGTATATATACATATACAGTTGATACATATATATACACACAAAAAGATATATATATATACACACACAAAAAATATTATTTTTTTAATTTTTTGCTACGCGCGCGGTTAGGCTCTAGTACACGTTTGAGGCACCGTCGGCGGGCAATTGGCGGACTCCATGACGCTTGTGCGCTATGGGTCGCAGGCCCGCTCGTCGGATGTTGTGTGTACTCTGCGGTGAACATATCTTCTCCTATCCAGGTCCTGCTTTGTGGCACCTAGTGGCTTGTAGTGGTTCTCAGTGACTCCTCCTCCGCGCGCCGTCGATGTACACAAGCACGCCCTTACGCTGTGCGCCCCTCAACCCCAACCACTCGCGCGGGGCCAGCGGACGTGAAGCCGAATGCTGGAGAGCTATACTACTTGCGCCTTCCCCTCCTGCTCGTGACTGGAAAGGGCGTCGCGTCATGGATGGCCCTGAAGCGCCACCCTCATCATGTTTCCGGGCCGCCTTCCGGGAACATGATGGGGGCGACCTTCTGAGGACCTCCGGTGGGCCTCTTGGGGGCCTCTCGGAGGCCTGTTGGGCTCTCCTGGAGGCGTCTTGGGGCGCGCTCAGGGCCATTGTTGGGCATCTTGGGGGCCTCTATATATGGGGAAGCATTTGAAATACGTGGAAGGAAGTGGCACGACTCGTGAGGGCTTGGGGGAGGGGTGTATATATATATATATAGAGAGAGAGAGAGAGAGAGAGAGAGAGAGAGAGAAAGAAAGAGAGAGAGAGAGAGAGAAAAAAGAGAGAGAGAGAGAGAGAGAAAGAGAGAGAGAGACCCATACGTAAGACATGTAGGATTGTGTACACAGGAGAAAGACAATCTATAGAAACGTAGTAGGTCGTCCAAGGCGCCTCGGAAGGCGCCTCGGAAAGCGCAGAATACCCCCCCAAGGCGCGGAATCATGTTCCCGAACCGCCTTCCGGGAACATGACGGGGACGACGTTCTGAGGGCCTCCAGTGGGCCTCTTGGGGGCCTCTCGGAGGCCTGTGGGGCTCTCCTGGAGGCGTCTTGGGGCGCGCTGAGGGCAATTTCTGTGCCTCTTGGGGGCTTCTGGGGGCCTTCGGGGATGCTCTTGGGGGCCTCTTTGGGGCCTCTTGGGGCCTCGCGGGGGGACCGCTGGGCTCGCTTAGGTAGTCTTGAAGCCCTGTCGGGGCACTCCTGGAACCGTCTTGGGCGGCTCCTGGGCCATTTTGGGGCTCTCCTGGGCCGTCTTGGGACAATTTTAGGGGTCTCTTGGGCCGTCTTGGGGCGGTCTTGGGGGCCTCTTCGGCCGTTGTGAAACGGTTTTGGGAGACTCTTGGGCGGGTTTGGAGCGTCGGAACCCCGAAGATGCGAGAAGGCCAAAAACCTCAAAAAAACTATACAAATCAACGATGTTGGCTTGTCGGGGCTCTCTTGGGAGGCCTCTTGGGATGCCTTCGGGGCCTCATGGAGCTCTCTTGGAACGTCTTCGGGCCTTCCTGGCCATTCCTGAGGCTATCTATGCGCGTCTTGGAGCGCTCGCGGGCCGTCTTGGGCGGTCTCGAACTGTTCCTGGCGGTCCCAGGGGCCCCCCATGACGCTTCGGACGCTCTCCGGGGGGCGCCCTGCACACCCCATGGAAATGACAGGCACCGCCCCGGGGCCTTACTCCGATATATGTATATGTATGTATGTATGTATGTATGTATGTATGTATGTATGTATGTATGTATGTATGTATGTATGTATGTATATATATATATATATATATATATATATATATATATATATATATATATATACATACATACATACATACATACATACATACATACATACATACATACACACACATACGGATAAACCGTGTGAGAGGCATAGTGACTATATGTGCAGGTAATGCGGTATACATATGTATAGAGAGATAGAGAAGAAATTCACGTACATATGCTACTCGTGTTCCGGAGGGGCGCCGTCACCGCACGCCTAGGGCTGGAGTGTGAACTCTACATCCTGGATTGCCTCCAGGAAGGCATCTTTGGCTAACACTGCATACGGGGACCCGTGAGACACCTTGCTCTCGCGAGGTTCCACCACAACGCAGGACTCGCTGGGAGAAGGCCCCAGCGCTCCGGAGGAGAGGCATGTAAGGGAGGGAACTCCGGGTGGTGAAGAATCTCCTGCAGCTTCGGGCACCTCCAGTAATGTCGAAAATCGTATCCCTGGTGCCAATGGGCGCTGACGCGCGCGCAGCCGAATCTACGTGCGAACGGGGGCCGCTGGCCCTCGTCGCCCACCCGCCGAGCAGCGATTTGAGGGCAGCTGTGGCCCCGCAGCCCCTCCAGGAAGCGAGGGTGCGCTGCAACGCCTCGAAGTCTATCTTGGCGCGCTGCCAGTCAGGGGTGGAGAAGGAGGTGAGGCGACGCAGGAGAGTCGAGATCAGAGACGGAGGAAAGAGCGAGGGAAGAGAGGCTGCGTACAGTGTCGCTTGCAAGCGCGGCGCGAGCAGCGGCGCCCGCCGCGCGGACTCAGTGGCGCGCGCAGCACGGCGCATGTCTCTCCCCGGCGCTGCCCACTTGCGGGAAGTAGGCCAGCCTGCCGCGGCGTCGGCGAGGCTCTCCGCGATGCTGGGCAGCACCCGCCACTCAGGCGAGAGGCGCCCCTGGCACGCGAGTGGGAGCGGCAGCGAGAACGCCGCCACCTCCTGGAGCGCCGCCGGGGCAGGCCGCCATGCGTGCGCTAACGTCTTCACCGCCGTCCTCATCATGGCAGCCCTGGCGGCAGCCGCGAGCGACTGCACGCGCGGCCCCCCCCAAGAGCGCATCTCCAGCAGGTCGGCTACGCCGCCAGTGTTGGGGGGGAGCCGCATGACTTTGCACAGCCAGTAGCGCCCCATGGACAGGAAGTGGGCGGGCACCTCGAAGTACTGCGCCAGGTAGCTCGTGAGAGGCAGCACCCGGGAAGCGTAGAGGGCCACTGCGGGAGTCGCATGAGCGCCCGATTTGGCCACATCGGCGATGCGGGCGCGCATCTTGTTCAGCGCCGCGAGCCAGACGTCCATGAGCGCCACCCCAAGGCCCATGAGCACGCCCAG